CAGATGACCTAACATTCCATATAGAAAACCTGAAAGACTCCAACAAAAAAACTGCTAGAACTGATAAATTCAGTAAAGTCACAGAATACAAAATCTATGTATAGAAATCTGTTGCATTTTTATACACCAATAATGAAGCAGCAGAGAGAGAAATTAAGAAAACATTCCCGTTTATAATTACAGCAACAATAATAAGGTACCTAGTAATAAACCTAATCGAAGAGGTGACACAGACCTGTATTCTGAAAACTGTATGCTGATGAAATAAATTGAAGATGACACAAAGAAATGGAAAGATATTTTAGGTTCATGCTTTGGAATAACAAATATTATTAAAATGTCTATATTACCTAAAGCAATCTACACATTCATTGCAATCCCTATAAAAATACCAGTAACTTTTTTTTTTATAGAACTAGAACAAACAATTCTAAAATGTATATGGAACCACAAAAGGCCTTGAGTAACCAAAGCAATTTTGAAAAACAAAGCTAGAGGCATCACAGTTCTGGACTTCAAGTTATATTACAAAGCTGTAGTGATCAAAGCAGTATGGTTCTGGAACAAAAATAGACACATAGATCAATAGAACAGAATAGGAAACCCAAAAATAAACCTATAATTATATGGTCAATTGATCTTCAACAAAGCAGGAAAGAATATTCATTGGGAAAAACTCATCTCTTCTATAGATGGTGTTGGAAAAACTGGTCAGCCGCATGCGAAAGAATGAAACATACACCATACACCAAATAAATTCAAAATGGATCAAAGCAATCTATCAACTGATGAATGGGTAAAGAAGATATGATATATATTACATATATGTAATGACATATATATGTAATAATACATATTCCATATGATGATATATATAATGATATATTTTATATGCATATAATGGAATATTATTTAGCCACAAAAAAGAGTGAAGTCTTACTATTTGCAGTGACATGGATGGAGCTAGAGAATATAATGCCAAGAGAAATAAGTCAGTCAGAGAAAGACAAATACCATATGATTTCACTCATATGTGGAATTTAAGAAACAAAACAAATGAGCAAAGGGAAAAAAAGAAAGAGGGAGAGAAACAAACCAAGAAACAGACTCTTAACTATAGAGAACAAACTGATGGTTTCCTGAGAGGAGTGGAAAGTGGGGATGGGTGAAATAGGTGATGCGGGTTAAAGAGTGCACTTGTGATGAGCACTGGGTGATGTATGGAAGTGTTGAATCACTCTATGGTACCCATGAAACTAATATAACACTGCACGTTAACTAACTGAAATTAAAATAAAAACTTAAAAAATGAGTAAAATATCTCTATAGAACATTGTCAAACTATTGAAATATTATGAAAAATAATTTAAATAAATGGAGAGATAACTATATTCAAAGATTGTAATACTCAGTATTATAAACATTACAATTCTCACCAAATTGACTTACATATTTAATATATTTGGAATTAAAATTGTAAAAAGGCTTTTTCTGGAATTGGGTAGGCATTTCTAAGACATATGTATATGGGAATGAAAAGGACCTGTAATAGTCAACACAGTCTTGAGATTTAACAAAATGGCAATAGTTGCACTACTGGCTATCAAGATTTATTATAAAGCTACAGTAATTAGACATGCTTTATTGGCACAAAGATTAAAACAGAGAACCTAGGAAATATCTATATATATATATATATATATATATACATACATACTTGATTTGTGACAAAGGTGTCCCTGCAGAGCTATGGGAAAAGGCTGTCTTTTCAATAAATGGTCTTGGAAACATTGGATTTCCACATAGGAATAAGAAAAATAAACTTGACAAATATTTCACACCATAAAAAGTTAATCCTGGGGCCAGGGGATTGTAGATTTACAAGTGAATGGAAAACCAATATTCCAGAAAATAGCATAGTAATGTATCTCTATAACCTTAAAGTAGGTAAAAATGTTAAATGGTACACACAAATCCCTATTCCTAAAGATAAAATTGATTACTTAGACTATAATAACATTAAGAAAGTCAGTTCTTCAATAATTAACCCTCATTAAGATAGTAAAAAATAAAATCTTCAAATCAGAGATGCTGTTTGCAAATTTTATGAGTAGAAAACACCTTTTATCCCACATGACTATCATTAAAAGTATTGACAATCCCTACTGATGAAGGGCTCACACACTGAGGGGAGAGTTTATATTGTGATAACTAACTTGAAATACTGAAGATTTTACTAAATTTCAACATATAAACAATTTTACCTGGAAGTCTAAAGGCACGGAAAAGAATGTTCAGACAGCATTTTTCATAATAAACAAGTGTAGCCGACAGTCCTGATGTCCTTTACAAGGCAGATCGATGCATGAATATCAGTATATTCACACAATGAACAGTATACAAGAGTGAAAAGCATGACCTGCTGCTACATGCAACGTCAAAGATGCATCTCATTAACACTAAGTGAAAGATGCTAGATACACACAGTGCATACAATACAATCCCATTTATTAAAAGTAAAAAGAAACACCTATACAGGAATTTTTAAAAATTTATGCTAATGTGGTAAAAATATAAATTTAAAACAGAGCAAAGAGAATATGATTATCATAAAAGGGTACTGATTCTTTCTGAGATAGAGGGAAGGTAGAAGTATTGAGGAGGTAAGAGTTCTCTTTGGGGGTGCTGATATTGAGTGGTGGTTACAAGGTTCTTGATTTGTTAAAAATTATCAAATTGCACATTTCTGTTTTATATATTTCTTTATATGTAGATTTCTTCTCACAATATAAAAGATTAAAAAGCAAAGAATAGAATATAATTAATAGAAATTAATTGTGTTTTACGATAGAAATTTTATGGACTACCTTGGTGGCTCAGTCGGTTGAACATCCAACTCTTGATTTCAGTCAGGTCATGATCTCATGGTTGTGGGACCAGCCCTGAGTCAGGATCTGCACTGGCAGTGCAGAGCCTGCTTGGGATTCTCTCTCTCTTTCTCTCTATTCCTCCCCTGCTTGTGCCTTCTCTCTTTCTTTCTCGAAGTAAATAAATGAAGTTTAAAAAAGTAAATAAGATAAAATAGAAATTTCCTTTTCTTTCCCTTGAAACCTACCCAGATACCAATTTAAAAAAAATAGCTTATACCAATTATATAGCATCATTTTACAAGGAGAAAAATTTTAGTTTGATTTTATATCTTATTCACAAAAAGATAAGTCACATTACTTGAATACAAACAAATCAAAAATTGTTACCCTGTTTTAACTGAGTTTAAAATACTTGAAAAAATGTTCTCTTCTTTTGTATAAAAATTTGTATTCAGTTTTACAGAAACAGTCATAATTAATAGATGCAGAACAAAGGTGCCTGGGTGGTTCAGTAAGTTAAGTGTCCAACTTCGGCTCATGTCATGATCTCATGGTTCATGAGTTTGAGACCCACATTGGGCTCACACCCAATGAGCTCACTATGAGGTGTGCTGACACCTCATAGCCTGGAGCCTGCTTTGGATTCTGTGTCTCCCTCTCTCTCTGCCCCTCCCCTGCTTACACTCTCTCTCCCTCTCTCTCTCTCTTTCTCAAAAATAAATAAACATTAAAAAAAATTAAAAATAGATGCAGAAGAAATATTTAAGTTAAATAAATATACTACTTTATATTTTCTTCACTTTTTTTCTTTATACCATTATAATCTAAATTAACTAAACAATATGTCTGTATTATGAGATTAATTCAAGAATATTTTAGTCAAAAAATTCACTTGTCATAACAATACTATTTACCTGTTACAAAAAATATTTATCCAACAAATGAATATCATAAGAAGCTTATTTTATGCTAATAAAAAAAGCTGTTCATTCCAATCATTACAAGATAATTTGTAAACACTTACCTGTGCTTGATATCTGATGCTGTTTCAAATACATAAACATGCTTAGTTCACTTATTTTAGAGTTTGAATTTTAAGAATACCATGCATACAAAAAAATGAACATCACAAAATAGATAACAAAGGACTATAATTGTGCTACCTATCATATTAGGCATAATCATACATTACCCGTTTTCCCAATATTTCAGAAATTGACAGTTCATTATTTTAGAAGAGTTAAAAATCTTCCTTACAAGTCATTTTTTTCTCTTTTTTAAAATATTTTTTATTTTGAGAGAGAGAGGGGGGTGGGCTGAGGAAAAGAGAGAGAGGGAAAGAATCCCAAGCAGGCTCCATGTTGTCAGGTCAGAGGCCAACATGCGGCTCCCATCTCACAAATTGTGAGATCATGACATGAACCAAAACCAAGAGTTGGAAGCCTAACCCACTGAGCCACCTAAGCACCCCTGCAAGTCATTTTTAAAATGAATGAAGTAATAAATACATAAATACATAAATACATAAATAAAATGAATGAAGTATGGGGCGCCTGGGTGGCTCAGTCGGTTAAGCATCGGCTCAGGTCATGATCTTGCGGTTCGTGATTTCAAGCCCCACATCGGGCTCTGTGCTGACAGCTCAGAGCCTGGAGCCTGCTTCAGATTCTGTGTCTCCCTCTCTCTCTAACCCTCTCCTGCTTGTGCAGTCTCTCTCTCTCTCAATAATAAATAATCCACATTATTTAAAAAAAATAAAAATGAAATGAAATGAATGAAGTATAAAAGTATTTAGTGAGTGGCAGGAGTCTCATTTACTTTGGATCCTAGAAATTTAGTTCTTTGATATTTTATTTATTAATTGAGCGTATGCTTCATCCTAACTCATCAGTGCTCAAACTAAGCAATAGATTGATTAGGAACTGATTTTCTTTAAAAAGAAAATGCATTTTATTTCTTAGTGTGATGGCTGTTTTCAAACAACTTCAGAGGCACATGCTCCTTAAATACATTAACATACCGTGTATTTCTTGAAAATTAGAAAAAAATGTGTTTCATCGTATGAATTATAACATGTAAACATACAAAGAACATATTAAAGCTAATACATGTCAATGATATTTATTTCAGACCTAAGGCAGCTGTACTGGAAACTTTCCGTTGCTTGGTGTTCTTAATGTTGTGTAGATTTGGTCATCTGAAGCCTTTCACTCCTTCTTTGTCATTTGCTTTAGAGGTAAGACATATTTTTTTAGGTGGCTTAGCGCAATTATACAGCTATCATATGTTTAATCTTTTTATTCGACAATGTTTTGTCTATTTATCTTGTGACTAGTACTTATGGGAAACATTTACCTATTCATTTACTTACCATACCATATTAATTGTGTCACCTGGAGCTAGTTAATATTGTGGAGTTTCATTTTTCTGGTGTTTAAATATGTATTGATATCATTAACCTCATAGACTTGTTGGACAAATTATATTGCGTGATGTTTATGAGGAAAAATTCAGTCACATAGTTGGCTTTCAACAAGGAAACAAATAATTTTTTAAAAAGTTTTTGGCAGATATGCTGCCATTTGAGATTTTTTCTTCTTAGGTTTTTAAGGTGATTAAAACATCTTATCAATTGCCCACAAAAGATAATGATTCTATAGAAATAAAATCACTGATGTCACTGAGATTTTTCTACAACTGAAAAATTTAAGTTATAATTTAACCTTCTGTGATGATTAAAACTTCTCTTCCAAGAACTTCCAAAAGCTTTTGGGTGTATATTTATTGTTTCAGATCTTAGATGCGTGTTAACAAAATCTTTATTCTTATCACTAAAGAGTTAATGCACATAACTTTATTCTTTTAAATTAAGGTTTATATTGTTTAACTTTGGTGCTGATCAGCCTGCCAACATGCCCAGCATATGTAACCTTGTTTAAGCATGAAACATAAATGTAAATATTCTCCCAGTATTGATGGAAAAACTAAAACAGGCAGTTTTATAAATTAGTAATGACCGTAAATTGGAACAAGCTCTTTGGAAAACAATTTGGCACCACCACAGAAGGCATATGAATATAAAAATGGGGAAGGGGAAATTTATATATACATATATATACATATACATATATATCTGTATGTATATGTATATGTATATACATGCATATATATGTTTATATATACACTTTATAAAAGTTTATATATATGTTTATATATACAGTTGATATAAGTTTATATATATATGTTTATATATATATACATACATATACATATATACATATATGTACATATATACATATGTAT